GGCTTGTTGTGCCGATTGATTTCCTACGCAGCATCTGAAAACAGCAAAGCTGCTGAGTCCCGGCCGCCTAGTTTGGACTAATCTTGTTGCGCGTATTGGTCTCGTGCCAGCCGCTGAAAGACCTCAAGGTTTAGGGTTTAGGCTTTCGCGATTTCTCCGCCTCTAGGTCGGTGGACTGAGCCGGAGGCTCTCAGTACGGATAGTGACTATGGGGTTGGTTATATAGGGTTTAGGGTCATATAGGGGTGACATTGGGATAAGGGACAAGCAAATGGAAAGTACTATCGTGTATCGGGGGTGATATAGGGTTAAGGGTTTAGTCAAAATTATGGCGCCTTGCGGGGTGCCCTAAATAGTGGGGGCCATATTATACTGGAGACCCTGAGCTGGGCCATAACTTTAACAAACTACTACAGGATAATGTCATCAAAGCCCTTGCCATACAAGGGCGAAGTATAGCCCCGCTGGCACGTTTCGATCCTGGCCACATCCTGTCTTACTGTGAGCGCATCAAAACCACCCCAACCCTAAACCCTGAATCCTGAACCCTAGACCTGAAACCCTATACCCTAAACCCTGAACCCTAAACCCTAAACCCTATACCCAAATCCTCAACCCAAATCCACTCCAAGCTGCCATGATTTATCAAGTAGAAGGAGGCGTGGTTTTGCAAGGCCTGCGCAGCAAACTCCCACCCCAAGGATTAGCTCTTGCTCAAAAGATTTTAGGTCATTTCAGGGTTATATAAGGGTGATATAGGGGCTTCTTAGAGGTAATGTAAAGGTTATTTACGGGTTATCTGGAAGTTATATAGCGGTTACATAGGGTTACACAAGGGTTTTAGGGGATTATTTAGGGGTCATATAGGAGTTATACAGGGATTATGTCGTAATTAAGGTCATACAGGAGCTACAGGGGGTTTAGGATTTTGGCGTCTTCTAGCTCAAGATTGGGGATTGGGGGCTCAGCATCTGCCGACTCATAATGCAAATGCCTTGCCTCCCACACACAGCAATTGCCTTCTTTCCATCGCGTTTCGTTTTTTGAGTTTGATCTCCGCGATGACCCTAAGCTCAAGAAAACATACTCTGAACCTCAAAACCCTGAATCATTAAGGTTGGACATCACATCACTAAAGCTGGCAGCCATCTGCCTACGAAAAGAAAACATATGGCGTCTTGTAGCTGGTAACCTAAACTGAGCTCATATGCTCTAGTCACTTAAAACCTTCCTTATCCACAATAAGGGATTACAATAGTACCCCCCCCAAAGGTACCCCCCCAAGGGTTTAGGGAGCCAATAAGGACTATATAGGGCTTAATAAGGCCTAATAGGGTTCCAAATCTGGGCGGGGGGGTACCTTTCGGGGGCACTATTGCAATCCCTTAACACAAGCTTTCAACTCACTCCTCCGTGAAGGTTCACTAGACACCATAGCAACAAGCATAAAGAAGGTAATAAGAACTACCCATGAACCTGCGACTAGGGTTGCATCAGCAGCCTAAGGTTTAAGTCAAGCTTCAAGCCCCGCCCCCTAAACCCTAAACACGTAAACTCTACTATGCCCTGCAAGCCACACACCCTAAGCCTTCAACGACTAAACTCCAAACCCTGAACCCCGAATCCCTAGGCATCCCTTTATTACTCTATATGTCCCTTCATAGGGCAGCTAGAACCCAATAAAACCCTGAAGCCCTAAAACTCTAAACCCCTAAATCTAAACCCTGAGCCCTGAATCCTAAACCCCACACCCTTAACACCACAAACCCTAAACCTTAAACCCTAAAACCCTGAAACCCTGAACCCCTAAAGCCTTAAAACCGTCAAACCTAAACCCTAAAACCCTAAGCCCTCAACCCCTAAATCCTAAACTCTAAGCCCTGAACCCTAAACCCTGAAACCCTAAAACCCTAAAAACGTAGACCCACAAACCCTAAAGCCCAAAAACCTAGAACCCCCGCACCCTAAAGCCTTAAAACCTGAAATCCTAAACCCTAAAAACCTAAACAGTCAACCCTAAAACAAAAAACAACAAAAACCAACAAACATAAGCCGCAAAATCCTCAAACCCTAAGTAAACCCTAAACCCTAAACTCTGAACCCTAAACCCTAAACCCTAAACCCTAAATTCTAAACCCTAAACTCTAAACCCTAAACCCTTTTTACCTTTGAGCCCCGGCCTCCAAAGCCTGGGCCTTCCAATCGGCTCTTGCCTGGCCCAAGGACCCGACTTTGTCAATCCAGCTCTAGAGATAGGGTTTAGGGTTTAGGGTTTCTTTTTTTTTACAACCCCATCGACTCTTTTACGTCTAGCAGCTGCTTGGGGGTCTTAGTTGCCCAGTCGGACTATGCAGTCGGCCCTCCACTCAGTACCGCAGGATTTTGACAAACAGTGTTCTCCACCATCTTAGCCATACTCAACCTGCTTCACTCATGCAAGCGTCCATGTACACTTTCCGGATCAGCTACTGTGTCATGTAGTTCCGCTCCCCCGTCAACAACAGGACATGTCACCACTTCACCCAGGATACAGGAACTACCATCAGAAGCATCCACTGCAGAACCTCCCGGACCAGGTTCCAACAATTCCGTGTGGTAGCCAAGGCCTGCAATCCCTTCATGGATATAGTGCAATTGAACATGCCCTGGTGGTTGGAGGCCTCCTACTTGCTCAGGACCTTCAGGAAGTGCACCCTGCCGGAACACCAATGTTCGCCCCATTGTCCTCATCCACACCACCAGCCTCTTGGTCAGGAGGAAGTACAGCAACATGCTCAACCAGGCCGGCACCAGGTTTCATGCCACATGTCTGACCCAATTCCATCGGATTTGCGACGCCATCACCAGGCACCAGGTCAGTCTCCACCGCAACCAGGTTAGCCGATGCCGTCACCGAGGAGGGTCCACCAGTTTGCCTTGGAGTCCCTGGAGGCTACGTCTGCTCGCCCTGGATTTCTTGCTCGTAGGCCACTCTTCCGTCTGCTCATCGTCCCCTTCCAAGTTCGCAGGGACCATTCTTCTGGCGTCTGCGGAGCTAGACGCGGCTTCGCTCTCGCCAGTTTGTGTCGCCATATCGCGAACCTGGTCCACCATTTGAAAGGTCCTGGTTCTCGTGTAGGGGCGGTAGTCACGGTTCATCTCCTCGAAAAACGCCCAGTCATCCCAAGCTTGTTGTTTGGCTGCTTCGCGCTGCCTGTGCACAGCTTTAGCCTTTTCAAGCCTGACCGCCATGAACTCGCGCTGGAGGGCGACGACTTCCTGGGCAGCGAAGTCCTCCGCAAGGTCGGCCTCTTGCACTTGAGAGTCCGCAAGTAGAACCGCGTCTTCGTTGACGCTAGCCACACCACGGGGGAGGAGAAAACACTGGAGCCGTCTCGACCAGGTTTCCGACCATTCGTCAGAGATGTCAACCGATTCGTCGGACAATTCATTGGCATACATCTGAAGCATGGCCATCAGCATTGCGTACCTGTCGGCTGCCGGTCCAGAGGCATTGGGCATCAGGGCCGCTGCCATGGCCTCCATTCTGGCGACCAGCTGCGCTACGTGAGCCCCTATGAGGACCCCCCTGGCCTTCAGGTTGCCAAGGTCCTTTTGTAGCATCACTAGCCACCAGCTCTCACCCGTGTAGGCCAGATCCTCATCAATTCTAGTCACGAACTTGTCCTTGATATTCGTCTGCATGAGGGACATCATCTCCGTGTCTTCCAAGTTGCTGCCAGGTCGGTGTTGGATAGTCTTCTGCACTCTTCGCGCTACATTGCGAATGACACACCATGTCCTTCGTAGCTGTTGGGTCATCTTCCCTGCAGCCCACATGGGTGTGGGCTCCAAGCTTCGCAACCATGCCACCAGCTCGCGGCCTAGTATAGCCAGCACAGGAAGCTTGCTGCTGTAGGCTCGTCTGGCTTGGTCACGGAGGCCTCCAAGAGAGCTTCGGTGGTATTTGTACAGCCACTTGATGGCCGCCACCGCACTTTTGGCTGCGTCCACGGCCTCTTTCGGAGCTCCAGGTCTTTCGGTCTGCATGAGAGCAAACTCCTCATTTTCGGATTCCAGGCCTCCTTCTGGATGTTCGTCCTCCAAGCCATCCAGCCCACCCTCGTCCACGATGTCGTTCATCACCATCTCCTCCGGGTGAGCGGCCTCATCGCCCAGGGTCTCTTCATCATCAATCTCCGCTTCACAACTTTCCTCTTCACCCTCGTCCACCTCGACAAGGACATCGTCGGCAGGAACTTCTCTGATGGGGGTGGCATCTTGCGGGACATCGTATTCCACGATTTCCAGGAGAGTAGCAGTGTCTATGAGGATATGGGCAATCATCCTCAGGAACCCTGCAATGACCAGGAAGGCCCCGCGAACCCCATTTTCTCTTAACATAATCTCCAAGACTCTTCCCTCCGTGTTGGAGAGACCATGGCCGATGTGGCCTCGAGGCCGCACTTCCAACATGCGTCTCACATCAGCCGTCATCTCTGAGCGGTTTGCATAGGAGTACCTCCTGTGAACTGGTGCCACCACATTGATCTCCGCCGCTCTCTCCGGAATGGTGCGTCGTCGTTGCAGGAGTCGTCTCCTTCTGTTGTGATCACCATGAGGGACTTTATGAGGTTTAGGGTTTTAGGGTTTAGGGTTTAGGGTTTAGAGGCTTCCCT